GGCCAACAAACACATGTAGAAATGTTCATGATCATTAGCCATCAGAGAGATGCAAAAAAAAAAAAAAAAAATGAGATACCATCTTGCCCCAGCACTAATAGCAAAGTTCAAAAGACAGAAAATAATAAATGCTTGTGAGAATGTGGAGATATTGGGACTCTCATACACTGCTGGTGGGACTGTCAAATGATACAACCACTGTGGAAAGCAGTATAGCAATTCCTTAAAAAGTTGGAATTAGAAATACCATTTGATGTAGCAATTCCATTAATTGGTATAGATCCTAAAGAAGTGAGAGCCAGGACAAGAACAGATACATGTACACCCATGTCCACTGCAGCACTATTTACAATAGCCAAAAGATGGAAACAACCTAGGTTCCCATCCACAGAAGAATGGATAACCAAACTACGGTACAGACCCACAATAGAATACTATGCACCCTAAAGAATAATGTAGAATCTGTAAAACAACACATAATGTGGATAAACTTGAAGGACATTATGCTGAGTGAAATAAGTCAATCACAGAAGGACAAATATTTTATTAGTCTGTTATTGTAAAAAGTCAAGGAAAGGTTTATATGTGGAAGGAAATTTTCTTTGTTGGTTACTAGGGGTGGGTGGGGAGGGGGGGAACACTGCTATATAGGTAGAGATAAGTATTGATTTGGGTGACGGGAGGGGCAATGTACCAAATGTGAGTGATCAACCCAGCAGCACTGAGGAAGAGGAAGACATAGAGAGGTGTGTGGGAGGTACAGACAACAAAGATAAACCCTTTTGCACATACAGTATTGCGTTGTCGGTGATGGCAAACATTGATATACAGGTGTTTAGATGGGTGGACATGAAATCTTTAACAACTTCAGTCTTTTCTCCATTTATCATGATGCTGCTTATTGGTCCATTTGTTAGGATTTTCGTTTTCTTTATGCTGAGATGTAATCCATACTGCAGACTGTAGTCTTTAATCTTCATCAGTAAGTGCCTCAAATGTAACAATACATACTGTGTATGTATAACAATACATATTGTTGTTGTTGTTGTTACGTGCCTTCGAGTCAGACCTGACTCATAGCGACCCTTCCTTGGGTTTCCGAGGCAGTATCACTACAGCAGTAGATTGCCCAATCTTCCTTCCAAGGAGTGGCTGGTGGGTTTGAACCTTCAGCCTTGTGGTTGGCAGTCAAGTGCCTCAGGCACTATGCTATACATAGTGTCATTTAGGTAAAACTTTAAAACATGCATTATAATAACACCTATTATTTATGGATACAGAAACACTCAGCAATAGAAAAAATAAACTCAGGAGAGATTAACTATAAATTCAGACCCTGGGAGATGCAAACTGTTACCACGCTCTGTTTGGCGGCTGGAGTCCACCCCAGAGGCTGCCTAGAAGAGTGGCCCTACAGACTGTAGTTCTGCTCTGACACACATGGGGTCGCCATGAATCAACTTGACAGCAAGTGGCTAGGCTTTTGCCCTGAGGTGAACAATTACGGGGAACACAGACAACTTCAAGTTTATTGGTATCATTTTCTTAAAAACAATAAGTAAAATTGGAAACAAAAACGGCAATATTTGAAAACTCTGAATGGTGAACTCACAGGTCTGCCTTATGATATTATCTACACTTTAGAAACGATGTTTATTGTAACAAAATTCAAACACTAGAATAAAAATATTCTAGTTACCTCTCCCAGTAAAGTTCCTTTCATTTAGCTATAGTACTCTTTCATCAAATGTGTTTTGAGAACACAATCTTTGAAAGGTACTATGTTAGGCTATGGTAATATAATAAAAGCAGCGCAGAATCCTTTTGTCAAGAAATTTCTGTTCTCGTGAGCAAACATTCTGAAACCAAAAATTAGTGTATAAAGCGGTAATAACGAAGAGAAAAGTACAAGAGCAGAGGAAGGAGAATTTACATGTCTGAGCAGCCAGAGCAGGTTTCAAGGAGATGCCTTTGAGCTGACTGAAAGGGAGAAGTGTTTGCTGAGGAAACAAAGGCATTTCAAACAGGACAGCTTGTACAGAACTGCAACGCGAGCAGCACGTAACGTTAACTATAGGCTGAGGCCGCGTAGGGTGGGGCGTGGAGTTGCAGGGAAGATCTTAAAATAAGAAGCTAGAGTGGAAGGCGCGGCTTTTGTGTGGAAGCCCGAACGTGTCTGAACTGGCACCGTACTTTGGTCACCAAGAAGGAAACGGCGACCTGAAAGTTGAAATAACTCCTTCAATCTGTTCAAGGTGTTAAGAGGTACAGTTGGAACCAAAAGTTGCGACTCCTGACTTTCAGGTGAGCCATCTTTGGCTGTAAAGGGGGCCATCGAACTGGCACGTGAGCTCCGAAAGCATAATTATACTAAGTCCTTTTTCCCGTTGCTTGTAGTCCTATCCTACTTGCTTTTCCCATTTTGTCCACCCCTACGCCGCCAATGGCCTCTTACAATGCAAAAAGGGATCCCCAAAACCTGCGTGCACTAACTCAGGGGAACTACAGTTCCAGCAAGCAATGATCCTAGTTAAAAAAAAGATTTCAAAGGCCACCAAAGAAGCCATCATGCAACGTTTTACGAAAGGGGCGTAGCTCTCCATAGAAGCAGGCACTTGTTGCGTTGCCTAGGCAAGTCCAATTAGGTAGCAGACACGCTTCCGCTTCCTCCTATGTGCTCTATGGCCGTGAGTCTAAGTCGCTTCGTCGCTCTGACGCAATTATCTTGCGACTACGCGGGGCCAAAGACGCTGTGGGGTGACCTGTATCCGGCGTGAAACGCTAGAGCATCTGCTTCTTTTCTGCGGCCCCTGACCCGGGAACAAAAGCGAACGCGGCGAGATGACGGACCGGTACACCATCCACAGCCAGCTCGAACATTTGCAGTCCAAGTACATTGGCACCGGCCACGCCGACACCACCAAGTGGGAGTGGTTGGTGAACCAGCACCGGGATTCGTACTGCTCGTATATGGGCCATTTCGATCTTCTCAACTACTTCGCCATTGCGGAGAATGAGAGTAAAGCACGAGTGCGCTTCAACTTGATGGAGAAGATGCTGCAGCCTTGCGGACCGCCAGCCGACAAGCCCGAGGAGAACTGACACGTCGCATATCACCGCTGTGCGGGAACACCTCTCCCTGTGTTCCCCCTTTTTTTTTTATAGTCGTTGCCCCTCTTTCCTGCCCCAAGAGGACGGATTCTCCATGGCTCCTGCTTGTCGCGTTTTCCTCGGACAGAAGTGGATACCTAGCGTCGTCCGCCTGACCTGCCTTCCTGCGTACCCTTCAGAACACAGCAATGGGAAAACCTAGGACTTCTGAAAACTAATCGTGGACATCCTAGAGTGGGCAAACGTTAGGGGCGGCGACACTGGAGCGGGATTTGAAGGCTCGTTGTTCGGCTGATTGTCGTTTTTGCTTTATCCATAAAGTTTAGAAATTGTTCAGTCGCTTGGTGTTGACTACTTGCGTTCGAGTGTGGAGGGAGCCAGGGAGGGCTCTGGTAACAGGTTTCGTGGGAGTTTGAGCAGGAGATGGCGGGCAGCGCAAGGATGGGATTCCTTGCCCGGCACTTACCTCAGCTTTGCACAATCTTTATTATATTCTCCCACCCCGAATTTTCTCAGGGGCTTTTTACTTTTATTTATTTATTTATTGCAGGCCCATTATGCCTCCAGTGTTGAGGTTTGTGGTCATTGTATCCCACCTTTTTCTCTCATTTTTAAAGTCTTTGCAGTCATTCATTGCTCCTCGCCCTGTAAATTGCATCTCCTGTTGGGACTTTGTACCATGTCCTCGGGACTGTCTGGCTGGCAGATGAGTTCTTTCTTTGATTCAACATTCAGCAAACATTTATTGAGCTGTATGTGACAGGCATTTCTCCAGGTTTTGAGGCCTTACATTCTACTAGGAGAAGGGGAGACGCGCTTGGGAAGAGGCCATCCCACAGGCGGAATTGAACAGTAGAAAAAGCCCTGGGAAGAAAAAAGGAAATTAAGGTGAGGGGGATAGGAGTAGTGGTAGGGTTGCAGTTTTATAGGATGCACATGTTAGATTATTGAGACGCTGGCGTTTGAGGGGAAGCTTTAAGGAAGTAAGGAGAATAACCAAGCAGAGAACTGGGGAACTGCTTTCCAGGTAGAAGGAACTGCCGGTGCCAGGGTCCCGTCATTGGGAATGTGTGTGGCCTGTTGTAGACAGTGAACAAGGGGTAAAGTGGAGGGAAGGAGAGGCCGTCCAAATCGACTGATGGTAGTGGGTTTAAATACGAGATCAGACACGAAGGAAAAGCTTTTTTTTTTTTTTTTTTTTAACTTTCCCTTTTATCCTGAGGGAGATGAGAAGCCACTGGAAGGATTTAAACAGGAATAAAAGGACTGATATATTTTAAAACAGTGATTGTCAAACATTTTGGCCTTGGGACTGCATTCCACTCTTAAAAATTATTGAAGATCAGAGTCTTTGTTTATATGGGCTATAGTTACTGATATTAAATTAGAAATTAAATTATAAAATGATAATTCATTTAAAAATAGGAAAGCATTTTCTATAAAAATAAAACATTTTCTATGAAAAACAACTTTTCCACAACAAATAGAAGAATGGCATTATTTTACAATTTTGCAGATGTCTTCAATGTCTGGCTTAATAGAAAACAAGTAGATTCTCATCTCTGCTTCTGTCTTCACAACGTTTTGCTTGAAATAAGAAAAAAAAAGATTAGTTACAATGTGGAGTCTGGAACTATAAACTTTTCATGCTGTGACGTTAAAATTCATTCATTTATCTTGCTCTTTAAATAAATCTTTTACCTATACGTGATATTTAACATCATTCATTATATTTGAAAGTATTGGCTCACTGAGTAATACAGATCTTCCCAGTGTTGACAGATTTCATCATAGAGTGAAACCAGTGAGCGGAACTTGGCGGTACTGCTTTGTTTTACCCGATCTCGCAAGTTTTCTGCTTTTGACAAGATGCATTCTTACCATTTCTCTGGCCTCTATTAGTAGAAAATGTTTTGAGTTTTCTAACATATTCCAAAATATTTTCTAATAGATTTCCACCATACACAGGTTCTGGCTTTTGCAGGTTTTGCTGTGTGTATCAAAAAATTACATTCATTAATATCACCACTGATGTTTTCTGAAAAGTTTCATAAAGTATCCAGAAGCTGAAGAGTTCACAGTGATGGATATAATCTTGAATTTGATCATTGGTAGTGCATACTGTTTATTGTTCTCCTTAAAGGGACAGGCACATTTGGTTCATTTTCAAGGATATGTCTGTCAGATATCCCAGTGTAGACAGCTAATTTGTTGTTCTTTCAAATAATAATGTTTTTTTGGGAAAAAAAAAAAAAAGAGTTCAGTTTGCAACTTAAATCATTACAGGTGCATTTCCTTGAGAAAACCATCATACTTGGTAGGCAACAGAAATGTTTTATGCAAACTAATTGTCACCCAGAATATTAAAAAGGTGTATGCTCAAGGGTTAAGATTGAGTAAAATTTGTAATATTTATTGCTTCATTAAGAACATTCCTAAGTGAAACGAGTTGGGTTATTTTTGTTTTTTAGTTTATGGGTTTTTTTTTTTTTTTTTTAATTGAGAGTGCATGGCAGTCAAGAATATGGTGACAACTGGCACACCTTGGTGCGAGTGCCTTGATTCATGCTAACTGTTGGTAGCTTTACTCACTATTGCACATCCATTCCATGTCAATGCAGTGAAAATAGGCAAATTAAGTCAGTATTATGAAAATAGTTTTGACTTCCTGGAATACCTGAAATCCTTGCCTGCCATTTTTATTTGCAAGAATGACTGACTGATAGTATATGAAACTGTGGGTATTTAGACTTGGGTATTTGGCAGACATTTTCTCAAAAATGAGTGACATGGGTGGTCACTTCAAGGAAAACCACTACTGCTGTCTCAGAGGATCCCCTTGGCGGCTGTGTTGAGCACAGACTGAGGTCATATAAAAGAGAAAAGCAGTCGCTGCTGAGTCACTTCCAACTCAAGGCAACCTCACATGTCAGAGCAGAACTGAGCTCCAAAGGATTTATAATGGCTGAACTTTGGGAAACAGGTCACCAGGCCTTTCTTTGGAGACACTGCTGGTTGGTCTTGAACCTTCAAACGTTTGGTTAGCAGCTGAGAATGTTAACCATTTGTTTGGACCACCCAGGAACTCCAATGTAAAAGAGTAGACTCTGATTAGGAGCTCTGCTGGTGTAATGCCTAAGGCATTTGACTGCTAACCCGAAGGCTGGAAGTTGTAGTTCAAACCCACCAGCCACTCCTTATAAGGAAGATTGGGCAACCTACTTCCTTAACGACACCGCCTTGGAAACCCAAGGAGGGGTCACTATGAGTCGGATCCAACTTGATGGCAGTGAGATGTTTTTTTTGGGGGGCAGTAATTAAATAAAGGTCAACAGGAATGCTTCAAAGAGCAGGAGAGTCAAGCTGTAACTCACCATCATTACAAAATGATAAAGGTATACAAAGTGGCATGAGTGAGTGCTGTCCTTAGTTAAAGGCTGTAGCAATAGACCAAGAAAGAGATGACTGCCTTCACTGGAGATGGAGATGAAGGGACTGAATATCAAATAAAACTCAAAACCAAACTCAATGCCATCTAGTTGGTTCTGACTCAGTGGGTTTCCAAGCTATAAACCTTTACAGAAACAGACTGCTTCATTTTTCTTCCATGGAATGGCTGGTGGGTTCGATCCACTGACCTTTAGGTTAGCAGCCAAATGCCTTAAACGCTGTACCACCAGAGCTTCTTATCTAGTGTGGATAGCATATATACAGAATGAGGTGAGCAATGTGGACAATAAGAACTTCAGGAATTTACAAGGAAGTTAGTAATTTAGGGATCAACCTCCATGAATGGCTAGAATCTATATGCTTAGATTTTACAAGGGCAGAGATTATGGTTTACTCATTGAGTACTGACCCATTTGCTGATATATCTCAGGTGTTTAGAACTGTGCTTGGCACCTTGCAGGTGTTCAATAAATGGTGAGTGTTGAATATTGAGGCTAGGACGTCATCTAGATAACAGGCTGGGCCTGTGCTAGTTCTTGGTCTTAGGCAGTCTTCAACTTTGCCAAGATAGGTAATACTAAAGAAAGTGATACTTGAAAACATGCTTCTTATAATAGCTCACATACTAAGAGCTTTTTTGGTGCACTAAGAATATTTATCTTATATGATCTTTGGGAGATATTGTCTTCACTTTATAGAAGAAGGGCCAGAAGAGTAATTATGCCCAAGATCCCACAGTAGTAAGTGGCTAAAGCAGGATTTGAACCAGGTTTTCCAGATCCACAGTAAAAACTCTTAACAATACTGTCGCCCAAGCAAGTCTAGCATGTAAAAAGCATATTAAGATTAGTTACTGTCTCAGATTTTAAAAATTGGGAATATTAGTAGCATAGTAGATTATATTGTAGGAATATCAGACCAATATGAAAGTTCTCATATAACACAAAGTAAAAATTTCACTTTATTTTTCTTTTTAGTTGGAAGAGTAATCATATTGGGGTGGGGAAAAATCCTATCAAGTGTCTGCAAGTAAAATGGAGTCCAAATACAGTAAATTGAACCCATCGTTACTTTTGTGTTCTCATATAAAATAATGTCTGTGTCAAGCACAGGTGGTATTCTGATAGACATCACTTTAGGAAAGAGCTCTAAGTGTAGAGATTCCTGTTAACTTAAGAGAAAAATCAACTCTTTGCATGTTTATTCATGGAACACTGTTGTACTTAGGAAACCACTTTGTGAGCTATCAGGTAATGGACCCATTTTTCATTTGCCAGATCTGCAGTGAATACTGCGGATCACTGTTACACATATAAGGACGGGACAGGAGATGGACCCTGCACGTGATGCTGGTTGAAGAAATAAATTCGTAATAGAATTTGCGAAGTGCTAAAGAAGAAGCTCTGGTAGCTTAGTGCCTAAGGCATTTGACTGCTAACCAGAAGGCTGGCGGTTCAAGCCACCAGCCACTCCTCGGAAGGAAGGTTGAGCAATCTACTTCCTTAGTGATACCACCTCGGAAACCCAAGAAGGGGTCGCTA